CGAAATGCACCTCATCTCTGAGGAAACAAGGGAAATCTGTGCAAATCCACCCAGAAAAGAGGCTCCTGTGACCATCCTGGCCCCTGCAGAGGTGGCACCCTGTCACCCCCACTGCTCCCAGCTGGTGGTGGCATCTCCCAGAGGTGAGGCTGTTGAGTGTCATTAATGATTGGGGTGATGGGACTGAGTTTGGGGCCGGTCCCCCTCGGGGGGAGCAGTGGAGAGGTGGGGGCTGTGCTGGGGGTTCTCAGCAGGCAGCTCAAAAACACACCAGGAAAGGACAAGATGCAGCCAGGGAAAATTCAAGTGGGTAGGAAATAAGTCTTCCAGATAAACAGTGGCACAGGGAGCTGGTGGGATCTTCACCTTGGAGACAACGTGACTGGACAGGGTCCCCACCTTCTGAGGGTGCAGCCAGAGCGACGAGGGGACAACCCACAGCACCAAAAAAAAAGGCCGAGGCAGGGAGAGGAACAAGCTGCTCCAGCAAAGTTGGAGGTGGAATAGCAATTTATATTAATTTATAGGATGGGGCTCCTCATTTTCCCTCCATTTTCCCCGTCTTCTGCTGCTGCAGCCCCAGGTTGTGCAGAAATGTGTAGAAATGTGCAGATGTGCAGAGATCCCACACGAGCTCCCTTGTTTTCCCTTTTCCTGGCACCGGGGAGCAGGAATCACGTGGATTGACACAGTTGCTCACCACGATCTCCAAGAAACAAATCAGGTCAGAGGGAGCTCTGCAGCCTTAAAAATGACCCTTGGGCTGGTTGGATGGACACGGGGTGGAAGAATTCCAAACAAGCCCTGAATTACAGGAGAGGAGAGTCCTGGGTAACATTGGGATCTGCAGGAATACCGCTCCACCTCCAGGGTGGATTGCTGGGCAAGGAGGGGTTTCCTTCTTGCACACACTAAAAAAAAAAAAAAAAAAGCCTCCTGGTATTTTGGTCTTGGACAAGACCCAAGGATTGTCTCGGAAATAGCTCTCAGAGCTCGCAGGAGGAGCACAAGGCTCAGATTCCCCATCAGCCTCATCCCCCTTTGTCCCGTTCCCACCCGCCTGTGACTCACTGGAGCTGGGTTAGGATGGATTTCCTTCCTCCAGCTTCCTAAGGAGGCTTTGGAGGCAGGGCAGATTGCCCCCCTGTGGCATTCCAAGGTAATCTGGGGGAAAGGAGGTGATGTCTGTGGCCTCCTGAGACTCTTTGTGTCCCTCGGGTTGGGGTATGAGGTTGTTTGCTCAGCCTCCCACCAGGAGAGGACACGACACCCTCCTGCCAAGGGCAGCTTGAATCAATTCATTAAGCCAAGCTCCCGTGCTTGGGAGAGATGGGAAGGGCATTTTGGGATGGGAGGAGATGGAGCCTCCAGCAGGGGAGAGAGAAATCCTTTCCTAGGCATGACCAAGGAGGGCTCAGGAGCTCCTTCCAGCCCCCCTTTCCTGAAAACCCTTTGGACAAGTTCTGGTTGCACCCACGTTTGCAGAGGTCTGGAGGTAGAAGGGGTGTCACTCAGGGTCACCCCTTAACCCCAAGGAAGATCTGAGAGATTTAAAAGGATGGGACCAATAAAAGTGACCAAAATGCAGCGGCATCTCCACCTGAAGCTCTTCTCAGGACCTTGAGGTGTAAGTGGGGGATGCAAGTCGGAGATCCCCCTCCAGAGGAACATCCTGGGTGTTTGGTAGCCAAGAGGAGAGTTTTCCCTCAGGAAAGGGCTGGTTAGCCAAGGAGATGAGGCCAGGAAGGAGCAGGTGCAGCTCCCACTGGTGGTGATGCTCCCTGTGCCTCAGTTTCCCCGGCTGACAGGAGGGAGCACATCCTGTGTGAGGTGTTTCTGGATGTGAGGATGAAAAGCGTGGAAAACCTGTCTTTAGAAACAATCCAAAAGCACCTCATGGGGAAGATCCAGTGGATCTTTTGTCCTTGGGTTAGAGACAGCAGCTGCAAATCCACATCTCCTGCTGGGATGAGCTCCTGTGTCCAGAGTCCTCCTTTAAGACCAGTTTGGGATGCAGGAGCAAAGGGATCTAAGCTGCTGACCCCAAAGAAAGCAGGATACAGACTCAAAAAACTTGCAGAGACCTCAGAAATGTAACCCAGGACCAGCAGGAAAAACAAAACATGAAGGATCTTCCTCTCCCCACCTCTGGTGGTCTGAGAGGGAAGAAGGTTTGGGACAGGGACAGGAGGTCCCAGAGGACAGAGAGGTTTCACAGAATCCCAGAATGGTTTGGGATGGAAGAGACCTTAAGAATCATCTCAATCCAACCCCCTGCCATGGGCAGGGACACCTTCCACTTGACCAGGTTGCTCCAACCTGGCCTTGGACACTCCCAGGGATCCAGGGGCAGCCACAGCTTCTCACGGCAACCTGTGCCAGGACCTCCCCACCCTCCCAGCCAAGAATTCCTTCCTTTTTTCCCCACGAGGAAAAAGCTAAACCACCAGCAGCTTAATCCCAAACTCCCTGGAGCTGGGATTGCAGTGCCCCGGGCGCCGGGGGGGTGATTTACGCCGACAAAGCGCACAAACCGACGCCAAATAGGGATGTTGTGGCTCTCACCACCAGCAGGAGAGGCAGGACACCATCATCAACTCACAGCAAACACATTTCCCACCCGAAGGACGGGGAAAAGGGCAGAAAACGAGGAGCAGGGTGGGAGCAGAGCGGGGCTGAAGCAGAGGGAGGGGATCTGTGGAGTGCTGGGAATCGGCCAAGCTAAAAACTCATCAGCAAAATATAAAGTGGGGAAAGGAGCGGGAAGGGAGGGGGGGAGGGAGGGAGGACGGGACAGGGGGGAACGAAATAAAACAAACTGAAAAGTAACATACAGAGAAGCTCCGGGCTCAGTCCTTCCCAAAAAGGTCCCATCGTGGCTGGCTGTGGATCCCTGTCCCTGCCCGGAGCTCCCGACGCTTCTCCTCCCTCCCACCCCTTTGAACCCGGGCTCTTCCCGCTGCTCCAGCCTGGAGACGGTGACGTGGAGACCTCCAAAGGGGAGGCTTCCCGAGCCGGGAAAGCTCCTCTGGATGTGACACTGCAAGCCCCGGGACGCCAAGGATTCCTTGGTTCCCTTTTATTTCGTGGATTTCCTTTTATTTCCTGAATCTCTTTCTAAGCACCCCCCAAAAAAAAACCCCATTAAGCATTGCCCAGAGGCAACGCTTATGGAAACACAAAAAAATCAAACTATTCTAACAGTCCAAAGGTTTGGGGCTAAAAATAGCAGGAAGGGCTCCTCGGAGCAGGGAAGAAGCAGAGGTGCTGCAGCAGGATGAGAAATGGTTCCTCCTTGTTAGGAATTCCTTTGCCTTTCTGTTCCGACAGCGCTGAAGCCGAACAGAAAAATCGGCTGCAAACCCAGCCTGTCCTCACAGCTGCAGGGACAGACTCCAGCACCACCACCAAAAAAAAAAAAACCAACTATTTTTCCCTCCAATTTTTACCTCCAAAGCAGAGCCCAAACTTTTTAAGTTTCACTTTTTTAGCAAGGCTGAGTTAAACAGTTTTAGTATTTTATGTTGGCCCAGAGGCTCCTCTGGGCCAGCACCATCCCAGCTGCTCTTCAGCCCTGTTTTGCAGGGAAGGGGGAACAGCTGGAAGGGAAAACAGCTGGAAGGGGTGTGGGGGGGGATGCTGCCCCTCACTCGACCCCAGGGATTAAATAACTGCCCCATCCAGAGGCTACAACCTCTGGCACGTCGTTGTCTGTTCCTTCCTGTTGCCAACTCGGATGATTTCACGGCTGATCTCACAAAAATTGATGTTTTCCTTAAAGGCCCCGTGTTGGGAGGCGAGATTTGGCTTCCAGGGGTGCAAAACCAGAGAGGTTTCACTCCCTGCACTCACAGAGAGTCCTAACTCTTGGCAAATCCAGCGTGAAGGAGACTCTGAACCTTCAAAAATCTCGTGGTTCTCCAACCTCCTCATCCTACATGACCCGTGGAAGTAGCTCCCCCCATCTGAAACTACTCAAAATAACTTGTTGGGGTTTTTTTCTCCTGGTTTGAAGGGATTTTGAAGAGATGTCCTCTTCTCCTGGCATGGGGAAAGCCAAGTTTTCACGCTCTTATTTTTCGTTTCTCAAGTGGGTTTCTGCTCTCCAGCTGCTTTAGGGAAGGAATGAGCTGGGAAACAGCCTGGCTGTCCGTGCAGGGGGGGGGGATGTGTTCCCAGAAGGAATCTTCAAGAGGAAATCAGCTCATAGGATGCTCCAGGGACAGAGGAAGAGGAGGAGGGAGAAGGGAGACATCACCACTGCACTTGCTCCTGCAGCTGCTGCTGCCCTTGATGTGCTCATGAGCCCAAATCCCAGGATTTTGAGCAGATTTTGGGACAAGGAAAACAAACCCCCTCACCAGAAACCATGCAGGGAGATGCTGTTTCCCAGCTGGAAAACAACCTTAAATATGCTCCTAAAAAAAAAAAATCTCAGCCCTGCTTTGTGTCAGACCCAGAGCAAAAGCCTCATCCAGCCTTGCTTAAAACAGTCCCAAGGAAAATCCTGGCTCTAAATTTTCAGGAGTTGCCCAGACCCCTAAGAAGAGCCGGGTTTCTGTAGCTAAAGCTCATATTTAATGTAAAAGGTTCTGTATAAAAAGAAATAAGATCATTTCCACAGCTCTTCATGTTGACATTTTACATGATATCTGAAAAATGTGATATCTAAAATATATGACATCTAAAAAAAATGACACCTAAAAATATATCTAAAAAAGGTATCTTAAAAATTATATCTAAAAATATATCTCATAATATTATATCTAAAAATATACTATATATACAACATAATACATATGCAATATAATATATATGTAATATAATATATATGCAATAAAATATATATACAATATAATATACACACAGTATATACAAGGATCAATGAAAGAGCAACAAGGCCCCCCCAGGACGAGGAGCAGAGCATCCTTTTGCTCCCAAATCCCCAATTTCTCCCACCCAGTGCCACCCCCCGGGGGGAAGGATAATTCCAACCATACCTTTCCCAGCCAGGAAAAAAAAAGGTGCCTCTGGGCTGAGGGTCTTCACCACATAACCAGAGACCTCCGTGGGGGAAAAGCCCTGCAGCAGGACCAGCAGAGCCCTGCAACAAAGCCAAGGAGGAGGCGATTATTCCCGGGAATCTCTCTGCCAGGCACAATACGGCAGCGTTTCAGTGTCCTGCTCAATGGCACCATTGTCCCCTCCCCGCCCCGGGGCTGCGGCTCCTGCGTGTGGTGGCACAAGGGCGAAGCTTCTGCTCCTCTGAGAGCTTCCTCCTGCCCCTGGAGAGGAGCAGGGGGCTTCGTTTTCCCTTGATTTTCCTCCCAGGGCAGGAGGGATCCCGGTTTTCCCTCGCCAACGCCGCTGCGGTGTTGGCCGGTGTGAGGTTCCTCCAAGAGGGGAAGGAGGTGGGATCTTTGATCAAATCCATCAGGGGTACAAAGGTGGTGGGAGGACTGGGCTGAGAAGGGCTGTTAACAGTTCCCAGCAGTATTTTGTTGGGATCCTTCCAGGGGCTTTGCATCTGGAAGCTGCACCCAGGGGAGGAGCACACTGAGGAGCTGGAGAAGGGCTGGAGGTGTCCACTGAGATCACAGGATCATGGAATGCTTTGGGTTGGATGGAACCTCAAAGCTCATCTCATTCCAACCCCCTGCCACGGGCAGGGACACCTTCCACCAGCCCAGGTTGCTCCAAGCCCCGTCCAACCTGGCCTTGGACACTTCCAGGGATCCAGGGGCAGCCACAGCTTCTCTGGGCTGGAGGGAGGATGAGCCGGGTCTGGTCAGGCTGGTGATGAGCAGGGAGCCCTTTCTGATAAACACAATTATTAAATGGGAAGGTGGCAAGAAAACCAAACCAAAATGTTCTCAGGGGCCCCCAGGGCCTGTCTGCAGCAGCCAAGGAGGTGGGAAGGCACAAGGGAAAATCCTGCCTGTCTCTGGAAACACCAGGAGCTACTGCAAGAAGACTGATGACACTTTTCTTTCCCTATAGGACAAGAGGGATGAGGTTGGATTTCAGCAATAAATCCACCACAGGAACAGGAATGGCACCATGGGAGGGCCTATGGGTGCATGAAACACGGAGTATTAAATAAAAATTGTATCTATAAAGGCAGATTAAATGCTGGGGTGTTGTTTGCTCCCTCCAGTCCACATCCAGGAGGCATCACAGCACCACCCCCGTGCCCAAAGCAAGGGATGCAGCTCGAGAATCCTGCTCTTCCCACCAGGAAATATGATAAGCCACCCTTTTTTTTTCCCCTCATCCTGTTCCCAGCATACCCAAATCAGCACATTGCTGGTGTAACTGGGGGGGAATGGAAAAATTTTTTGAGGAGTTTTTCCCCCATCACCTCCCTGCTGGCTTTGCACTGGGGAGCCAGGGACATCCCCGTGGCTGGGTTGCCACCACACAGGCACTTCACATTCCATCAAGACTTCCTTGGCACGAACAGGAGCAGCAACCCCCGATCCTTCAGGGAATATCTGCAAATTAATGCTGGGCTGAGGACGTGGCCACTGTGGGGGGGACAATCACCCTGTCCTTCCCTGTGCCCATTGGACCCGGCTCCAGGGGTCTTATCCATTCCAATGAATCATTAAAGTAATCCCCTCTCTGTGGAAATTAATACATTTAATGTGTTTTCCAAGCTCCACCTGGATACTGGAATTTCGCCTTTCCTGCCTCCCTTCTTTGTATCCCCTTTGTGCATCTCCGGAGACGGGGACAGTAAAACCCGGAAAAACATCCTGTTGCTCCCTCTTTCCCTGGACAGAGAGAAAAATCAGGCACCAGGAGGGGGGCTGGGGGGTGGATGCATCCCTGGTTTCACAAGCATCCGGTTGTTCCAGCCGGTGTGCGGTGGCAACTGGCACAATGGGAATTGCAGATGGCTCCCGGTATTTACAGGGCTGGAGTCATGTCCGGGACAAGCTGCTGTTGTCGGGAGAAGCTGAGGCAGTGCTGGATTCCCGCAGTTTGGGGTGGATAACCCCGGAGCAGCGCGTGGGTGCCAGCGCTGGGCCGTGCGTGTCGCAACCCCGCGGAGCCGGCCGGGATTATGGATCGGCGTCCCGCGCTCTCCAGGGATGACACAGTTGCACGTCCAGTCGATGTGGCTGACCCAAATACAGGGCTGGCACAGCCTGGTCCGGCTGCCAGGGCGGCTCTGATCCTCGTGGAGCGCCCTACAAGCGCCCTGGAGCACCCAGGACATCGGGGTTCTCCCCAGCACCCCGTGCCGGAGGGGAAACCCCGTCTTTCCACACAACGACCTTCCCAGCAGTGAGGCCATCAGGGAAAAGCCCTCTTGGATGAGGGGTGCTGGAACGGAGGTGTTTGGATCAGGGATATCCCCCGGGAGGGTTGCTGGGACCCACCTGTTGTCGGTGCTGGGCGGTGTCTCAGGGCGAGGTGGCAGCAGCTGGCACGTGGATGTCACCTCCCTGTCCTGGGGGAGAGCACAGAGGGCGTCAGGACACCCAGGCACGGCCTGGGCTGAGCTGGGAGAACCCACAAGGATCAGGGAGTCCAACCCCCAGCCCTGCACAGGCCCAGCCCCAAGAGTCACACCCTGTGTGCCAGAGGATCATCCAAAGGCTCCCGGAGCTCTGGCACGGATCACACCACCCGGCACAAGACCCATCCCAGGTGCAGTCCCCTCAGAAACCCCCACCCCCCAATCCACCATGGCTGGATTCCTCGTCTTGGGAAAGCTGTTCCAAGCCCACCTCCCTCTGCTCCCAGAGGTTCCATCGCTCCTCATCCCACCCTGGGATGATGCCAGAGGATTTTTGCAACTGTGTCTGATCAGGGAGCACCAGCAGGTCTCACCCTGTGGCTCCACTGCAGCCCCAGGGAGAGGGATGGCACCCCAGATTCCCTGGATTAAACCTCTCAGCTCCTGCTTGAGGCCACACAGGCGCCAGAGGATTCCCTAGAAGACGCTTCCATCAGAGTGGACGGAGCAAAAAAATCGTGTTTTTTGCCAAAAGAGGTGGGAATTTGTACCCTTGGACTCGGGGCCGGACAGCACCAACCCCACTCAGAGCTGAACACCTTTCTCCAGGAATTCTTTCCCCCAGGAAATCCTAGCCCAGCACTCAGATCGCCGCAGGCACAGCCCTACCCGTGCCACACCCTCCCTGAGCACCCCCACGAGCACATCCCACCACACTCCCACGCCCGGGATGCTCCCAGAGGGAGCTCTGCCGGCTCTCTCCGGGCTCTGACGGACAGGCAGGAGGATCAGGGTTACTCCTGCTCCCTTTTTTCCCCTCGTTGCTCATTTTTCCACGCCGGCTGCCCAATTATTTCCCAGGCTGGCTCTGCCTCGCGGTGCCTTTCTGCAGTGGCATGGAAGGGAGCCTGGGAATCAGAGATGCCAAGAAAAACCACGGCAAGGACAAGGCTCTGGACCGTGGGCTCCTCAGGGTGGGCTAATTTGGGCTGCTTGGAGCTGTCCTGGAGTGTGGCTCCAGCTTTTCCTGGCTTTCCCCGGGAGGGTTTGGGCTTTAGGGACTGGCTGCCCCTTGGGCATCCCCACACAACATCCTTCCCAGCAGGGTCTGGGTGCGTCTGCACCCCACATTCCTTCCCTGAAGGGGAGGAATTGCCAAAGAGCTTGGATGGGTGGGGAAAAATGATAAAAAAAATCAGGGGGAGAGGAGCAGTTCCTACCCCAAAAGTGGTGTCAGCCCAGATTCAGCAAAAACCCACAAGGCAATGACTGCAAAGCAACAGCTTTGAAGCAGAAGTGCCACAGGGGGTTGTCCTTTTTTTTTGGCGTCGGCTCCAAGTGAACCCCAGCCCATCCAGGGAGAGCTCCCAGGGCAGGTTTTATCCCAGCTTCTCCCCCATGTGGCTCCTCATACCACTGCCACATCTCCCAAAGCATCTCAGAGCTGAAAAGAGCTGAAGTCTGTCCAGTTTTATCCCTGTCTGATGGAACAGTTACATAAAATCCCTTTTCCTGACGTTTCTGGAAGCAACCCCAGAGTGGGGCCTGTTCCTTTACCTGGGTGTGCCCTGAGATGGGAGCAGCACCTTCCAGCCTGGAAGATCTCCTGGGTGGGAGAAAGGGTCTTCCAGGAGGAGCATCTTAAAAATCACAGACAACCCCTGGGCAGGGAGGCTCCTGATCCCTCAATCCCAGCTCCACATGGAGCACCAGGAGCAGTTGTGGAGGACCCAGAGTTCAGGAACTGCCACAGCTGCCCAGCGTGGTCCTTGGGATGTGGGACTGGAACACCCCGAGGAGCCAGTACCAAAAACATGGATCCACAAAGGTATTTATGGTTGCAAATGCACTTCATAAGATAAACCCTCATTTTTTCAGGATGTAGGAATTATTTCAACAAGTGCCTTCGCCCACCCAGTTTTGGGACCTGATGCCCCTCCTGAACCCCAAACCTGGAGAGGGGCACTGCCAGCACCCGAAATGAGTCCCTGGGGTGCCCCCCAGCTGTGCCACCTGCTTGGTGACCAGCCTGGCTCCACCACCCGCTCCCAATCCCTCCACTGCCCATCCCCATCCCGACGGCCATCCCGTCACCTCCCATTAGCCCCGGCCATCCAGGCGTTCCCTGCTCGGCTCCATCACGCACAGCAGCCAAAGCAGCTCACCCACAACAGGCCAGGTTATTCCAGACTTCCCTCTCTTTCCCACAGGGAAGGGGAACACGAGGGATCCGAACGACTCGTCCTGTTCCCATTTTCCAAGCGCTGCCACATGGCCGGAGCGCCATCCCCGTTTCCCGGGTACCACTCACCTCTCCCGCTGGGATGCGAGCAGGCTGGGCTGGAGGTGCTGGCAGGAGGGGTCAGCAGGCAGGGAATGGGCATTTCCATGTGCTGCCGGCGCCGCAGGTCCCACGGGATGGCCGGAGCCACCGGACTGAGCCCAGCGCCGCGTCCTGCACCTCCGGCTCTGCTGCTCCGCGACTCCGATCCCCGATCCCGGCGCTTTCCCGCTGTCACATCTGCCATCTAGAGGGGACCTTTTCCCATTGCAAACGTGCCCCTCAAATTGTAACGAAATCCCATGGTTCAGGAGTGACAAATAATCTCAGTCCATCGCTTGATGGCGCAGGAAAAACCGGGACACAGAGATTGACACCCCTGAATCCACGCGGGGTTTTCCTGCTTGTTTTACCCCGAGTTAGAACCAAGCAGCAGGAATCCCACGAGAGGAAGGAATCTTTCTAGGAAATCTAGGGAAGATGTATTTGAAACAGCCCAAGAGAGGTAAATGGTCAAAATAACCCTCAAATCACACTAGTGAGGGGCTAAAAGGGTGGCTGAGGGTCGCCATTCCCTGTGTCCTGTCCCTCCATGCCTTGTCCCCAGTCCCTCTCCAGCTCTCCTGGAGCCCCTTTAGGCCCTGCAAAGGGCTCTCAGGTCTCCCTGGATCTGAACCCCCCCAGCTCTCCCAGCCTGAATCCACAATCTTCACCCTCTGTGAAGAACCAATCCCTCCAAGGACCCTCAGGATTTCACCTGCTGGAGGGACCAAAGAGCTCAGAATTTCACAGACTATCCTGAGTTTGGAGGGACCCACAAGGATCAAAGCCCAACCCCTCGTCCTACACAGGACAACCCCAGAAATCCCACCATGAGTTCCATGAAAGCATCGACATCAAGGCTGAGGAAAACTCGGGAAGTGAAGTGGAAGCTCTCCAGGTCTCAAAGCAAAGACCAAGCACAGGACAATGGCTGGATACAACGGATTCCTCCAGGAAAAGGGATTTATTGCTGCCCTCAAGCACATCAGCCCACAAGGCTGCACAACCTGGGAGGGAAATCTTTCTGTCCCCAACTTGTAGGTATAAGAGCATCCAAAAATCTACCTGCACCCAAACTCAAGTAGAACAACACATGAATTCCAAGGCTGCTGCTGGGATAGCAGAGAAGCTCACAGGATTTTTCCCCCAGAAAAAAAAAAAAGCAGCAGTGAGTTGATGATAAAATAGCTCCCCTTCACGGAGTGGCATCAGCTGGCACAACATGTCCCTCCCCAAACACCACATCCCAAGCCCCGTGCCAGGGATGCAGGTGCCCAAAATGCTCCTCCACGGCCTTCCAGAAGGGCTCTGCCCTTTGGCAGCTTCCAAAGGATCCGGAGGTGCAAACCTGGGGGAGCACGTGCGGTGAGGAGGAACACAAGCACCACCAGGTTTCCTTTTCTTTCCTTTTAATATAAACATCCTAGGGAAATCTGGGAGGAGGAGCAGCCTAAAGGGAATGTCTCTTGGAATAAAACATGCTTTGGGAATGATGTGCAAAATTGAAGTGTCCAAGCAGGGTCAGCTCAGCTCAGGACTTCCTGGATTCTTGGGTCTTCTTGATTTCCTGCAAGGAGAGCAGGAAAATGACTGAGAATCTGCCACTTTTTGGGAAAAACTCCTGGTTTCAGAGCTCTGGAGGTCAGGAACGACCACCAGCTCAGATCAGAGGACTGAGCCCAGAGTTCACCTTCAAGGACAAGGCAAGTTTGACTTGGAGGCTCCAAAAACAGGAATCCTCTTCTATTCCACCCAGGGATGTATCTTTTATTTTCTCCCTAACCCAGGACTGTGCTGGATTCATTTCCCACTTTCAGGCCATAGATCCATGATCACTAATCCATGATCTCTGCATGATCTGACATCCCTCAAACCAGACCAAGTGTGGGATGAGGTGACATTCCTGGGGCTGCCTGAGGACAGACCCTCACCTGCTCAGCCCAGGGGTGACACCTGCCCGGGAATGAGGCTGGAAAAGCTCCAAGGACTCACCTCCAGCAGCACTTCCTTCAACTCAGAATAGGCTTTTTCTAGATCATCATTAATAATGACCAGGTCAAACAGCCCAGGCTCTTTACCTGGGGAAGGTAAGACAAGGAAAAGAGTTAGAGGAGGATGTTTCTTCCCTGGGTCACCTCTTGTGCTCAACCCAAAGTCCTGTGGCATTTTAAAGTTATTTGGTAATATCATTTCAGCCACTGCTCTGCCAACCACCCAGAGGGAGCTGCAGTGGGCAAGGCATCAAGTGCTTCCATCAGAGTTGGCTCTGGAGAGCATAAATCAGATATTCCTGCAAAAAACAGCTCCTGAATCACCGAGGCATCATCCCCTCTCCATCACACACCACTCCAAGGACTTACTGAGCTCCAGGTCCACACGGGCTGCAGTCAAACGCTTCAGTAAACTCTCCTCTGTCTCAGTCTTTCGGTCTCGTAGCCTTTTTTCCTAAACACGGTGAAAAATGTATTAAGAAAATAAATGTTCTGAAAGCTGCAGGCAGAAATCCCCACCCACCCCCTCAGGCCAGGGCTGTCTGTGACCACGGGCACGTGAGAATACCCTGCACCCTCATTTACAGCCCAGTGCAAACCAGGGGCCAAACTGGGCTCAGCATCTCCTACCTGGAGCTCGGGGTCCCAGGGTTTGGGTTTTTTTTTTAACTCCCTCTTATTTATTTATTTTTCCAGGTACTGCTGGAAATGAAATCTCTCTGCTGGGCTCTGGCCATGTGGTGCTGTTGGCTTCCTCCTCCTCAAGCTCAACGAGAACCAGAGACTGCCTGATGTACTGAGAGCAAGAGGGGAGAGTCAGGGGTTGTGTTCACGTGTCCTCACCCCTCTCTGAACCACGACAGCGACTCCACCTCTGCAGAGCCCCACTGCAACCACTTGTACGGGGGTAAGACCAGAGGGGTGCAGAATTTACAGCACAGAAAACCCTTCTCTCCCCAGCATTGAAGCCCAACTGAAGGACTGGGATGGAGTCCATCACCCAGCACAGGCAAACACACCGAGGTGTGGGGAACACGTGGGAGGGACTCAAGAAACCAGAGCACAGGAAGGTTATTTCTCCCCGAGAGCCAGGGGCTGAGGAGCTGAACTGCGTGCTTGGGAACGTCCTCCCCGCCTATTCCAGGGCCCTGAGAACACAGGGGTGGATGAAGGAGGGGTAAGACCCCCCCCCATCTGCAGAGCAAGAGCTGATTACCTCTAACTGCCTAACGGCAAAGCAAGGCGGGCGCTCACCAAGATGTCAATGGACGGCGGCTGCACCGAGATGTAGATGGGGTTCAGGTCGGTCTTCTTGATGTTCTTCACGCCCTGGATGTCGATGTCAAGGACACAGATCTGGTTCTGGGCCTGCACAGCCTGCACAGCACCTTTACTGGGGACACAGCACACGGGGGAGGGGTCAGTGTGTGCACTGGGGGATTGGTGTGTCCCCCTCTGGCAGTGGGGGAACCTCACAGGACTGCCCTGGGCCCAAACTGGGGCTCTGCTCTTGCTAAATAGTTTCTCCAAATGTCCTCTGGGTCCCTGGGGTGGAGCAGACACCTGCTGTCTCCTGTTAGAAGCTGGCAAAGCCATGCTGGAAGGGATGGAGATGCCTCATGTGTGACTGTCCCATGAGCAGCACGATTCAGGTACCGTCCATAAAGCTCCTGCTGTGACAAAACTCCACCCCCCAGTGGGAAGGTCCCTGCCCGTGCCTGGGAGTTGGAACTAGATGGTCTTTCAAGATCCTTTCCAACCCAAACCATTCTGTGACAAGCACAGAATCAACTTTCAGCAAAGAGCAAAGCCACTGAGAGCTTCCCTTCTCCAGAGATCCCCTGACTCCTGTACCCAACACGTTCTCCCGAGGGATGGTCACAGATGCTCCATCCGAGTCACAGGATGCACTTGATGGCTCACTTCATTTTTCAGTGGTGGGTTCTCATATGTCCTTAAAGACAATCTTTCTTCCTCAACGTGGGGGAGTTGCCTGCAGCTTGTTCCTGAACTCCTACAGCTCTCCCTGGAAATGCAGCAACACCAACCCGCTCCTGGTGCGCCCGAAGTACCTGGACTGCAAATCCAGAGGTTTTGCTGCCTTGCCCAGATCCCAGCACCGACCCTTACCCACCACAAACATCCCCAAAATGGCTTGGTTTGCTGTATCCCCAGGTACCAAGTGACTCCCACCACAAAGAGCAGCAGCTCTCAGAGCCCTGAGGAAGAGAATCCACACCTGCACTCTGATTTCAGCCTCTGATTGGAGGCAGCTTCCAAGAAATCCTGGTTTCTGTGGGCAGGATTCGGTGATTCAGTGCTATCCCACACACGGGGCTCTAAAATTAGGCAACTGATTTTCTGTTATTTGTCATTATTCACTGATGAGATTTAAGGAGCAGAAAGGACTTGGTGAAAACTCCAGCTCTTTTGACAAACATCTCTCCATTTTATCCCACATCGGATTAGAAACATCCTCAGGGACTTGGAGAGAAAACACAGGCACAGAGAGATCCTGTATTTGTTTCATTTGCACGCTGGTCTTTATTGCTTCTCTGGCAAACCATCCTCACAGGGAAGAATTTACCCTCAGAAGGAAACTTTGCCATCTCCAGAAAAATCCTCAAAAAGGCACGTTCAGTTCTTCAGGAAACATTAAGTTTTCTTGAAAAGCATTTCAGGCAAATTTCTTTAATCCACAAAATATTTTAACCTCCTTCCTCAGCAGGTCCTTTCCTAACAGCACCACAGTTTTCCCATAATAATTATATAAGATGTCTGACTCCTAATTAACATTCCAGCCTCATGCTGGATTGATCACCAGCTCCAATGCCCAGGGCAAAGCTATTTTAGAACCCACCCAACTCTTTTTAAGCCCAGCCAGGGGTACATGGATCCCTGTGGAATTCATAATCAGACACTTCAGCAGAGTGGGATGTAACAGCCAGCACAGTCTTGGCTTCTGCTCCCAAATCCATGGAATCCCAGGATGGTTTGGGTTGGAAGGGGGCTTAAATAATCTAATTGCATCTAACTGCAACCCTTGCCATGGGCAGGGACAGCTGACATACCTTGTCCCGTACATGTTCCCAGAGAACTCGGCGTGCTCGATGAACTCCCCGGCATCGATTTCCTTCTGCATCTCCTCTCTGGTCACAAAGTGATAATCTGGAGAGGGAAAACCAGGAAAAATAGCCAGGAATTAAGAGTTTTGAAGGTAAAGTTCATGGTCAAAATGACACCTGTGGGAGCCTCAGGGGACAAGACACTTAAAATGTGTTTTGGACAGCGCTGGGAGACTGCAGAGATCTCCTTCCTAATTATTGGACACAGCATTCCCTCTCCACACCAGTTGTCCAGACACCTCTTCCAAACATTCTGTGTGGCCAGAAATGCTGCTGTATTCCCTTTTCCATCCCCTTTCCCCTTCCTGGTGCAGTGGGAACCTCTTCCCACTCTTGCCCACAGGTATGGAACACGTTATGGCAGGGCTGGCAAGGCCCTTCCTTTGAAAACATTTGTAATTAAAAACCAGAACGGGATGAGAGGGAGGGAGATAAAAGAGAACATCAAAACCAAACGGACTAAAAAGGAATGTTTCTCTATCTTTGGTTAAAATTCCTCCCTTTCATTTCAGAGTGGAAACTGCCCCTTGGAAATTAAGTACAAACCTCGTTTTGGTTCTCTCTTAAATATGCAAATGAACAAGGAAACAGCTGGGGACAAGCTGTTAACAAAGATTAAAACACCTCATTAAGCAGCTGCACTTCCCAAAGCACTGGACATTTGGGGCATCTCCCCTGAAACTTTGGAAAACCAAAGGTCACTCAGGTCAGAGCAGGGTGTCTGAACTGAAACCTCGGGGGGTTATTGGGAGGCTCCAAGGAGACAGAGCCGACTGCAGGACACTCACCTTTGCCATTCACCTCCCCAGGTCTTGGCTGCCTTGTGGTATCTGCAGGGGGAAAAGAAAACAACCTTGGAAATTCTGTACATCACCCAAGCATCAAGGAAATGCCAAGGTCTAAGTGTGCCCCTGGATCTTTGGGGGGAAAAAAAATCTCTACCAGGAGAAAACCTGGGAGAAAACAATAAGATTTAGTTTGGAGCGAGAAGAGAGACTCAGCTGGATCAAGAGCACAGGATGAAGCACACAAAAAGAAAGATAATAAATTTTAAGTCTTTTCACCTCCCATCCCATTTAATTTTTTAACATCCAGTGTTTGCTCTCTCGTGGTGGAGTGAATCTAAATGTCAGTGCAAGGATTTCACTTGCAGGATCCGAAGTGCTGGGACATTAAAACACATTTTTGGTAACGAATAATTTGGCAGAGCTCCAGGGAAAAAAAACAAGTGAGTTTTTGAAGGAGAAATTTGGGGGAATTTTGTTACTTTCAGTGTCAGGAATCACTCAGAAGAATCTTGTCACCTGTCAGAGCTGTGTTTAGAGATGTGGGGAATGCCCAGACCTGGAAAGGGTGCTATTCCAGACCAATCAGACTTGCCACTCAAAATCAGCAGCAAAAGGCATCCCAATTTACTCACAGCATCCCAAAGAGCCCCCAGACAGACTGGGACATAGGGCAAGCCATGGAAAACCATTATCTGGGGCACAAATAGAGCCACAGCCCTGAATTGCTCCACTGCCTTTCCCTGGGAACACAGGGGTACTCACGGGAGACGCTGAAGCCGAAGATGTTCTCGTAATCTTTGAACAATTTCTTTAACAAAGTGCTTTTCCCTGCACCTGAAGGGCCACTCAGAACCACTGGCCTCGGTCCCTGCATGACTGGGGAGAGACAGAAAAACACGTGTCTGGTTGGAAACAGCCACGAAAACACAGGTGTGGATCCCCAGGGGTGCTCAGCTCCTCAGAACAGCACCAGTTCTGTAGCCTTGGAGAGAAGATTCTGCAGGAAAATCAGAAATGATGAGGAATCCCAAGCCTAGAGTTGATACAAAGTACTGGGAGTGCAGGATCTTCCCCATGGATTGAGGTAAACCCATAGGAATAACCCAAAGGAGGAGGAAACTGGGCTCCAGCTGCCACTAAACTGGGATAATTCAAGCCAGCCCAGTCCCACTGGTGTTTTTATGTTCCTGCCTCTCTGGGGAGGAAGAAAGGTTAATTATCAAGATTAATAATATTTTCATAAAGAATAAATACAAATAAAGAAGAAAATGCTCTGTGAGAGGGAAGGGGGTACCACTGGGGACCCTCATCCATCAGCAGCCTCCAAGGCAGAGCTAACACATCAGACAAGCCAGTTCTGTCCTTCCTATCTAAAAAAATTCCTTCTTCAGGCAGTAAAATCCCTGGAAAAGCAGTTTTTTGAACCTCCTGGGCTGGGTGTGGTCTAGGGGGGCAACCAGGCAAGGGGCAGATAACACCTTTCCATTTTAAATTAGCTCATAGCAATGTCAGCCTGACCTTCCAGCTCACTTTTTAACCAGCCTTAAGCCAAGTGCTGTCTCACCAAAGCAGCTAATCCAGCCTGGCTGCCTCCCTGACCCCGGCCTGGACGTGTCCTTATCCCTAAATCCCTCCAGCAGGCAGCACAACAGCCAGGGAATGACACAACTGGTCCCTCTGTCCCCTGAGGACACTTGTCTGACCCAAGTTTAGCCAAGCCTGGGGGATTCAGAGTCTAAGCAGGTGCCCAGGGCAGCAGCGTGGGTGGTTAAACATCCACAGGCAATGATTATCCATGAGGAAATTCCTCCTTGTTTGTTGGGGTTTTGGCTTGGTGTTTTCCAGGTGCTGCAGCCCCGGAGATCCATCAGGATCAAACCTTCTCCAGGGATCCCAGAGGACCAGTCCCATCAGTGCTGGATGAAGCTCCATCATCCAAAAAACACCAGTTCAAGGAAGCCCTTTTGGGGACCTTCTCAGCATTCCCTTAATCCCTGAATTTTGGTCATTTGGGGACCTTCTCAGCATTCCCTTAACCCCTGAATTTTGGTGACTTCCAAATATCACAGGTTTTGCCTAAATATTCAATACCAGAAAAGGAAAAAGGAGCCCGCAGCGAGGAAGCAGAGGATCCCTGAGGAGTTATCCAAAGCCTTTCCCTCTCTTCTGCCCCTCACAGTTCCTCTCTTCCACACCAAGAAATCAGGTGAGCCCTAAGCATTCCTTGGAAAAGGCTCCACAAGAGCCTGTCCAGGTGTTCCACAGCCTCCCCTCCAAGGTGATCCAGCTGTGCCAACACAAACTGTTCCAGATGCACAATTCCCAGTCCTGGATCCCAGCTAGAGGGAACAGAGATTTCCTCTCCCTCCACCCTCAAAATTTCACCTGCCCTGGAGCAGGCACGGATAGAAATTCAAAGCTGCCCAAAGCACTTCCAATCATTTCCTTCAACCCCCAGCAGGGAAGGGATGGGAGGGATGGGCTGGGAGCACATTCCAAGGCATCCTTACCTTTTCCTTTTGCTCCCTTCCAGCCAAGGAACTCAGCGCAGCCCCCGGGAGCAGAGACAAGCTCAGGACACGGAGCTGGGCTATTTGTGAGCTCCTAAAGCCTTAATTAACGAGCTGCAATTTTAAGATGGCCAATGGGAGCCACCCACTGGGCTTTAATCTTCCCTCGTGGATCCTCCCCCGCTCTCTGCTCTCCCACCTGGCCAAGCTGCATCCAACACCCCCAAAAAGGCTGAGGGGGGCTGGCCTGGGATTATGGGAAACAGGAAAACTGTAACCTCAGAGTCACCAACATAAAGGGACAAGGATTTCACCTGCACACAGTTTGTGCTGGAAGGGACCTTAAAGCTCATCTCATCCCACCCCCTGCCGTGGGCAGGGACACCTTTCTCTACCCCAGGTTGCTCCAAGCCCCATCCAAGCTGTCCTTTGGCACTTCCAGGCACTTCCTCCTGCAGGCAGTGCAGCTCCTCTGGCCCAAATCCACACGTGGCTGTCGCCTCCAGACACTGCTTCACCTCAGGGCAAGGACCACGAAGGCACCAGGGGAACTCCTCCCCTGGCCCACAGATCCAAATCACATCCCAGCACTTCCATACTGGGATCCACTCCTCGACCTCACTCCCTCTTTTTTCCCCTCTAAAAGTACTTATAACTGAGAAAAGACACCTGGGTGTGATCACTTCTCATTTCCTTGGAAAACGGGCTAAAAATAAACCAAGGGACTTGCAGGTGCTTCCTCTTGCCTCCCTCACAGATCCCTTGTCTTCTGCTGGAATCTGCAGAGGGAAACACGCCTTAACTGAGAGGGAACAAAAGCCATTCCCACTCCCAGGTGACGGGCCTGGGAATTTCATACAATCCTGGGATGGTTTGGGTCGGAAGGGACCTTAAATGACATCTCATTCCACCCCCCTGCCGTGGGCAGGGACAACTTCCAATAGCCCAGGTTGCTCCAAACCTCATCCAACCTGGCCTGGAACACTTCCAGGGATGGGGCAGCCACAGCTTCCCAGGGCAAATCCACTGCTAAGGAAGAGCCACTGAGCACAGGGATGGCCCTGCCCTCTTCCCCTGGTCCCCCAGCTCTGCCACAGCAGCTCCTCCCCCCACAGCCCTCAAACCCCACAAGTAAAGCACCAAAAAAGGCCCAAGTTCTGATGGATACGGGGCTTTTTCTACCTCCTGTTTGGTTTGCAGCCCAGGAACGCATCCATGCATCCCACTTCCAAGCCATCTGCAGCAGGAACATCACAAGGATGGATTTATTTTGAGCAGAACGCTTGGAGTTTGGTTTTTTTTTTATCCTTTGCTCAGATTTTGGCATTTTCAGAGCAGCCAATCTGCAACTACCCCAGCACTGAGAGTCTCCCAAAAATGGCTTTGGATCCATCCCAACCCACCAAAACCACCAGGGAGCTGATCAGCCAGAGAACAGCACGGCTAATTAATTATTTAATTAATACGTGGGGAGGTCTCACACCTGAGACTGAGGACAAATGGCCTTGTGACCCCTCTGGGCTGCAAAAAGATGAGGTAGTCCCTAAAACAAGGAATGTTTCCTGGTCTGCTCCTGCCTGCTGAACTCGCCCTGGATTTTACCTGGGAGCCAGCAACACAACCAGGAAAGCAAAGGACAGACATCACAAGAGCTAAGATAATTAATGCTGATTAGCAGAGAGGCTTTGCAGGGAAGGCAAAGCCCCCTTTTACAAAGAAGAAAAGAAGATTAAAGCAGTTTCCCTGGAGCCTTGAGAAAGGTCTCCTGGATTAGGATTATAAACCTGCTCCCTATTTTTAGCCAGGTTCCTTGAAAAGCTGCCACTCCCACCTGCCTAAAATTTGGGATTGTTTCCCGAGAGACAGAGAGATCTGCCCTGGCAGACAGGGCACTGAAACGGGAGCAGGGAGGTTGATCCCTCCCAGCCTTACCCATGCTGTGATTCCAGGAGGAGCATCCCACTGCAGCAGGGAGCTGGCAGAACACTCAGGCACCTTTTAGCCGGGGGGGGATAACGGGGCACGGGCAGGACCCTGAGGGGCTCAGCATCCCCAGGGATGGGGGATCAGACCCCTGATCCAGGAGATCCTGAGGCAGGATCGGCACCACATCACCCCGGGGCCCCCCAGCACAGGGACCCTCTGAGGGACTGAAGACCCCCATGAGAAGCCCAGCACTCCATCGCAGGCTGGGACCCCCCAGCCAGGGCTTCCTGAGGGGCTGAGCACCCCAGAACCGGCCAGGACCCCCTGAGGGGCTGAGCACCCCAAGACCCCTCAGCCCAGGGGTGCCACAAGGGGCTGAGCACCCCAGGACCAGTTGTGTCCCCTCAGCCTGAGGCCCTTGCGAGGGGCTGAGCATCCCGGGGCCCTTCATTCCAGGACCCCCCTGAGGGGCTGAGCATCCCGGGGCCCCTCATTCCAGGACCCCCACGAGGGGCTGAGCACTCCAGGACCCCTCATTCCAAGGTCCATAGGAGGGGCAGAGCACCCTGAGCCCCTTGGGCGCAGAACCCCCGTGAGGGGCTGAGCACCCAGGGGTGGTCTCGCCCCCTCAGAAAAAGGTCCCCGTGAGGGGCTGAGCATCCTTGGGGGCCGCCTGCGCCCCCTCAGCCCGAGGCCCCTCGTGAGGCACTGAGCTGCCATGACGCCCTCCGAGCAGGCTCCCCGGGAGGGTCTCGGCTCCCTGGGGCCGGCCGTGCCCCCTCAGCCCGGTTCCCGTCCCCGCTCACCCGCCCGGGCGATTCCCGCCCCGCGAATCCGCCCGTGGATCATGAGGGGATGGGGGGCGGGCGGGCGATCCCGGCAGCACCCGCGCGAGCGCAGGCGCCCCCGCCCCGTGACGTCAGCGCGGGGGCGGGACCGAGCGGAGCGCGCGGCGGCGGGACGGACCAAGGGCGAGCGCGGGCGGGGGGTTGGGGTGAGCGGGGATGGGGCTGAACCAGGAGGAGATGGGGTGGGGGAAAAATGGGGGGAGAACAGCGCGGGAGGGAGCGGGGAACGTGGGGGAGCCATTGCGGGGCGGCTGCGCTGGGCAGAACGATGGGGTGGGGGGAGACACGGTGGGGCTGGACCATTGTGGCGATGGGGGGTGGGGAGATGTGCTGGGCTGAACCAATATCGGGATGGGGGGACCCCTGATGGGGCTGAACCATTATGGGGGAAGCGGGAAGCCAGGGCTGAACCATTGCAGGGCGGGGGAGGATGTGGTGGACTGAACCATGTGAGAATGGGGGGAGCCATCGCGGAGCCAGACCCTGCCAGGAGCTGTCGTGATCCCTGACAGGGAGGGGGTGCCGAGGGTCTCCCTGGTGTCACCGCAGGACCTCTCTCCTTGTCCCCAGGGTGTCGCTGGGCTGTGTCCCCTGCTCCGTGGAGGCCCCGAGTGTCCCGCCTGTGCTGGGATGGCCGCCAGCCGGGCCCTGAGGTGAGCGCGGAGGGTCTGGGACCTCCCCGGGGCAGCACCGGCTCTGTGCTGTGGGACGGGGCTTCACGTCCCCCCCACGGTGACCGCGTCCCCGTTCCCACAGTGTCCTGTACCCCCGGGCCGTGTCCCGGCTCCCTCCGGCCGCCTCCACCCGCAGCAATTCCAACCGCGCCGCCGTGTCCCACCTGCACCGGCAGCACTACGGGCGGCTCTACCCCGTCCTGCTGGTGGGCATCGACGGCTCCACCACCCGCCTGCGCTACCGGGAGCCCAGGAGGATCCTCATGGTACGGGGGGGAAGGGGATGGGGGCGAGGGAGACTCGTGTGGTGTCCCGGGCGGTGTCACATCGCGTCCTGGGGCGGGTGTCCCGCCGTGTGCCGGTGCCTCACGCCGTGTCCCCCGTGTCCCCAGCTGCCCCTGGACAGCACCACGCTGCCCGAGGCCGAGCGCAAGGCCCGCCTGCGCCGGCACTTCCCCGGCAAACCCAAGCCCAGGACCGAGGAGACCTTCGAGGGCATCGACCTGGAGACCTACAAGCAGTTCTGGAAGAAAGGAGCGCAGAATAAATAAACAAATAAATAACCCAAGCAGCCAACCCGAGCCGTGTGGTCGCGGCGCGGTTCCGCGGGGCTCCCCCGCGCTGGGCGGGCGGTGGTGCCGCCCGGCCCGTCCCCCGCCCGTGCCCGCGGTGGTAGCGGCGGGGCAGGCGCGCGGCGGCCGGAGGTGCGTGAGGGGAGCGGGGCGGATCGGGGGGATTTTTGGGGGGATTCGGAGGGGCCGTGTGAGACCCCCAAGGGTCCCACCAGCCTGCTGATCGCGCTCCCCCCATGCTGGGGGTGCAGGGATTTTCCTCCCCTCCCCCGGGGTGCTTCACACGCCCCCGGGACGGGCAAACCCCCTGTCAGGCCCTGCAGCTTCCCCAGGCCTGAACCCCCTCCCAAACCCAGACCAACCCCCCCCATTCCGGCCCTTCAGCCCCCTCCCAGACCCTGGAACTCTCCTCTCCCCGGCCCGTGCAACGATCTCCCCTCCAGGCCGTGTAACTCCCTCCCCAACCGCTCACACTTGTACCTGCCCTCCCCCGGGGCCCTGACCGCCCCTTCCTCCCAGCCCTCAACAGCCCATGCCCCTCCTGCCCCACCTTGGCCCTGCAACCCCCTGCCAGATCCTGATTTCCACACAGGAAATGTGATTTTCCTAGGAAATGTGGTTTCCCCCAGACTGTGATTCCAACTTCAGGCCCTGAACCCTCCCATCCAGACCATGACCCCCCTGCGCTTCCAGCACTGAAATCTCCCACCAACCTTTAACTCCCCCCCACATCAACCCTACAACCCCCTGCCAGACCATGAACCCCCCCAGTCCATAAAGCCCTCCCCTTCCAGCCCTGAACCCTTCCCCTCCCCTGAACCCTTCCCCTCCCCATGGAACTCCCTCCCAGCCCCTGAACCCCACTCCAAGCCGTGCCTCCCCCACCTCAGGGTTATACAACCCCCCACCTTTGGGGCACCACCTTTGGGGTCCCCCCACATCCAGGAGCGCCCCCAGGGCCGCACGGGGGGCCCAGAGGGGTAAATCCTTTTTTGCAGGTCACCCAACCCCTCCCCACAGATCTGCTGGATTTGGGGTCCCGGCACCATGTTCGGCTCGTCCCGGGGCGGGGTGCGGGGGGGCCAGGACCAGTTCAGCTGGGAGGATGTGAAGACGGACAAACAGCGCGAGAACTACCTGGGTAAGGGCTGGTCCTGCCCAAACCCACCCTGCCCGCCCCTGCCTGTGTGGTTTTGGGGTGCCGGTGGAGGTTTTTTTGGGGCTGTTTGTCCCCACAGGGAACTCGCTGATGGCACCGGTGGGGCGGTGGCAGAAGGGGAAGGACCTGACCTGGTACGCCAAGGGCAAGAAGGACACGGCCCCGCCGCTGTCCCGGGAGGAAGAGCTGGCTGCCGTCCGCCTGGCCGAGGAGGAGGCCATGATGGCAGCGCTGTGAGTCCACACACCCCACACACACACCCCCTCCCCAAAAACAGGGGGTGCAGAGCCTCTCCCCCACACGCATCACCCGCTTCTGTTTCTGTAGGGGCTACAAGAACGTGAAGAGGCAGCCCACGGGCCTCAGCAAGGAGGTAATGGGGGCACTGTGTGTCCCCCCTACATCCCTGGGGGGTGTCCCCTCCCCTTGGCTCTTTTTTTGGGAGGGGGGACACGCCCAGGATGCTCTTCCCCCTCCCCTTCCCACAGGACCTGGCTGAGGTTTGCAAACGGGAGGGCGCCGAGCGGGACGACAAGGACGTGGATCGGGTGGTGGGTTTGGGCAGCTCCAGGTAGGGAGAGAGGCAGGGGGGGATCCCACACTGATTCCAGGGCAGTCAGATTTGCTGATTTTACCTTTTCTAAGGTTTTTTTTCCTTGTGATCTCTCCCCAGTGGCAGTGCCGGCCGGGTGATGCTCTCCAAGGAGGACAAGGAGGCGGCCAAGATGGGGCTCTCCGTCTTCACGGTACAGCACTGCTTGTGTTGTCCTTGGGAGGTTAAGAGACAGGAAAAGGCAAAAAATGGAATATTTTAACTTAAAATGTTTAAATACTTATTTAAAACCCAACCTGGGTGTTGTAGCAGAGAGACCTGAAGGAGCTGCCCGTGTCCTGAGTTAATTTGTGGGGTTTTAATTTGGACACAGCTTTAATTTTTCTCCCAGATTTCATTTAATTTTATTTCGGCTTTTTTCAAATTTCATTTTTAAAGGGGAAAAAAAAATCCCTTTTTCTTGTAATTCAAAGCTATGGGCTCACGGACTTGCTCCCTGTTTTTCCCCCCCTCTCCAAACCCTAGCACCAGAAAGTCTCCAGCAGCCCTGAGACATCTGGCTCCAGGAAGAAGCAGGAGAAGGAGGAGAAGGTGGAGGAGAAACGGTGAGGAGTTTTCCCACTTTGGTAGGAAACCACCTGAAATGGCCTGGTTTTTACAGGGAATATTTTGTAAAATGCTTCCATGGCTCCCTTTGGCATCGGGTTTTTCTGCATCTGCCTGAAAAACTCTGCTTTTCTCCCCAAAACCTCTGTTCTTTTTTATTTCTGTGGGTTTTTCCTCGGCCAAAGGATGTGGTGGGATGTGCCTGGAGGGAAGGATGGGGATGAGTTTTTGGAGGAGCCAGAGGGATGCACAGGGCAGGGATTCTCACCGTTTGATCTCTGTCTTCCCTGCAGGCCAGAGAGCAACAAAAAATCCAAAAAGGAGAAAAAGAAGAAGAAAAAGAAGAAACATAAGAAGGAGAAGAAGAAGGACAAGGACAAGCATCCCAAGAGAGACACTGCCCCATCGTCCTCCGACTCTTCTCCGGATCGGGAAAAGAGGTATGGGCAGGGATGGGAGCTGAGCCCTGGTCTTGGGGCATCACCCCTGGAAAACGAGATGAAGGATTTAGGAGAGCACTTAGGAGGTCTGGCATTCCAAAAACCCGTTTTGCACCTCCAGAATCACCTTGTAGGTGTCCCCGGTGTCCCTGCTGCCACTCACCCTCCTCTCCCTGCAGGCACCACCGCAGGAAAGCACAGCAGCACTCGGAGACATCGCGGCACGGCAGCCGGCGCCGGCACCACTCGGATTCCTCTGGGAGCAGCGGGGATTCCGGGCGGGATTGCGGGCGGAGGCAGAGCAGGGACAGGGACGGCCGCGGCCACCACCCATCCCCCCGGCGCAGGGGCAGGAAGAGGAGCAGGAGCAGGACCCCCCCAGCCCGCGGGGTCAGGCAGCGCCACGACACTGACTCGGACTGAGGGGGAGCCTGGGATCGTTCCAGGGAGATCCCACAGAGCAGTTCTGGTTTTGGAGGTGGATCCATGAAAAAAGCCGCAGCTCTGCAGGCGCAGAGTCCGGCAAAGGGCATTAAGGTTGTGATGCCAACAGCCCCTGCCCACCCCTGGGGGCAGCAGGTTCTCAGGCCCCTTCCTCTTCATCCCTGGATCCATCCACCCATCCAGGCAGGATTTAGCACGGATGCTGTGGGGTGAGGGCTGGTGCTGGGATGGTTCCAGCTGTGGTGCTGGAAATGCTGTGGATACCTCATGTTTATGTACAGAAACTTTGGAAGAGATGATTATTGTTATTATTTTATCTTCTTTCCCCTGCCCTCGAGTACCTGCCAGCACAGCAGTTGGAAGAGTTTCCTTAAACATTCCCTAAATTCACAGCTACATGGAGGGGACCTTAAAGCTCATCCAGTTCCACTCCCTGCCATGGGCAGGGCCACTTTCCACTATCCCAGGTTGCTCCAAGCCCCAGCCTGGCCTTGGACACTTGAAATAATTCCTTGGCTGATGGGGAGACGGATGGGATCAGTGTCGCCCCCCAGCCACATCCACCCACCCCAGGGAGCAGCAAACTCCATTCCCATCTGGGATTTAAACCCTCCAAACATGAGTATTTATGTCCTGGGTGCACTGGAAAAAGGGAATTTCACATCACTAAACAGGAACACTGCCGAGCAGCTCCGGAGTGTCTCCGGGTCCAGCAGGGCCGTGCCAAGCACAAGAGCCTCGTTTGTGTAATTAATGATGCAATTTAAGACAGGGAGGGTTTGTGTGTCTTGGTGGACAAAGGCCCAGGGGGATGGGGGTGAGGAGCTGACAAAGCCCTTCTGTCCCCTGTCCCTCCCTGGCCGTGAGCACGTGCTGGGCACCGGCAGAGGGAGAGGCTGCAGAGCAGCCCCGACCTTCGGGGATCCCCCACACCCAGAGGCTGTTTGGGGGGTGACAAACTCCTGGCAGGGTCACAGGGTTGTTCCTCATGGTCTGAGCAGCTCCAGCCCAGGGAGAGCAGGAGGAGTGGGGCTCTGACCCTGCTGCTGCTCACCAGACTCACAGCTCCACACGTGTCCCAGCCAGTGCCAGAGGTGCTGATGTGCCAAGCACGATGCCAGAGGGGCTGTGGCACAGCTGTCCAGCTCTTCTGAGCTTTCTCCTGCCTCTCCCGTGTCAGAGCTCTCCCTCTTCCTATTTCACACTCCAAGACCTGAGTAAAACAGTTGGAGAAATATGGATAAGCCACAACTGAGGGTGAGGGGGGATGTGAAGGAGCCCAGCCCCACTGAAGGGCTGCTCACCCCATACCCTTCCCTGCTCAGCTGCTCCACCGGTTCCTGGGGGACTGGGCAGGATCCTTTCCCCTGGGTGGCCAAAATTCTTGAGAGGCCAGTCCAGCCCAGAACAGAGCAAACAAAGCCTGTGTCTGCCCAGAGCAGAGGGCAGAGCACATCTCCCACAGGTCCCATAACAGCAGCACATTCCCTATGTTTTCCACAGCAAATGGGATCCTATCCCAGCTGCCCCTTCACATTCAATTCTCTCCCAGAACGGGAACAGAGAGAGGTCCTGCCCTATTAGGGATGCAAAAATCCTGACTCAGAGCTTGACATTCCAAAGGGAGACCAACCTGACTCGCAGGAGGTTTGGGATCCCCTTTTTCCCAGTGCTATTTACCCTCTACGGCCACAATCCTTGTTACCCATCCAGGACCCCAGGTTTCCCTGCTGGGAATTCGCTCTCTAACCTGCATGACAGACCTTTCATCCTACAGCTGGCCAGCCTGTGTCCTGGGGAATCTCCAGCCAGGAAAACAGGCAGCTCCTGCCTGGCAGCCCGAGCTTGACCAGCAGCAGCTGTCCCGGATCCAGAGGGGACTGCAGAAGGGAAAAATGCAAAACAGAGTTTAAAAAGGCAGAATTCCTATTTTCCCCCACAAAACTGCTAATTCACAGATCCTGTTATTAAATGGGATCAGCAGGGGGAACAAATCCAACGAGGGAAGTGATGGAGCAAACAAAGAAGCTGCAATGATCCCCTGAGGCAATGAAGTGACTCCAGTGACTCCAACTCCATCACCCACCACTTCACCTGCAGGATTCCTACCAGGAATGATAACATTACTTGGGAAACATAGGAGATATCCTCAAATTTCCATGCAAACTGGGGTTGGGTTTGGATCCAGCACACGGCCCTGCACAAAGATGATACAAACAACACCATACCAGAGCAAGTTTCATGAAACTTTTTATTCAACAAGTATATCATGATTCTGCCAAGATGATCGAATGAACAGCAAGGCATAAAAAACATGAAATAGTTAAGAGATTTTTATTCTAATAGCTTTAATTACAGTGCTTCTTTGTCGAAATGAAAACTGAAAACAAGTATACAAAACAGTTGATTACTAATTGTGTATTGAAAGCAATAAAGGTTTCCACAACACTAAATAAACCAGTTCTGATAGTTCCTCGAGTTAAAGTTTTTAACAGCTCCAGCTTCTTCAGTGTTTATCAAAATACAAAAGAAAAGTAAAGAGGTCTTTTTTTTATTTTTCTGATGGCAAATCTGAACCTTGCAGTATGAGGGATGCCAAGGGTTTTCACACATATACAGATATGGGATTGTTCCAAAATGGGATTGAGTACTTCTAGAGTGGAATGACTCTCCAAACTCTCATGCTTTTTGTTTGTTTGTTTTTCCTAGACACTATACATAGATGTTTGGTGTTTTTCATGGCAATTCTTACGTTAAGTACAGTACTTTCTGCCTATAGAGCTCAGGACTAGGACAGGCTGTGCACCCTGTGGGAAGGTTTTGCCTCCTGGAGTGGTTTTACGCACAAGAAAAGTACAAAACACTTTTTGACAAATAACGACAGGCTAAAAATGTCGACTTCTGGAAATGATTCGAGTCCAATGGAAACGAGAAATCTCACCTGAACCAAAAGTCAGATGTTTAGCATGAGTCTGCAAAGCTCACCTAAACCAGGCCCAGCAAATCTTGTAACGGTTGTGAACGAGGATGAGCACAGACTACGAGCTACGGAAAGAGCCAGAGATCTACCGGTCATGATCTGTTCGTTAAGCAGATGAAGCTAATCGGGTGTCAATCACTGCCTCACCCTTTCAAAAGAATCAAGAGTCACCACATTAGAGCTGGAGCAGCAGAAGCGATGTCAAACGTTTTGTGTGCTGTGCTGAAGTGTTTTTACTTTTCCTTGTCTAGTTAAAAAAATACAGAATTCAGGTTAAAAACCAACCGCCAAAATGGATCTCACAGATCTCACAACCCAACCGAGGTGGAATTCAGCTCTACTGCACAAGGACCACTGGCAACCCTTTGTGTTATTAACCCAATTAAATCCCTTCCAGGTACTAAACAGTGACTTGATTCTTTACAATAAAAAAAGCTGAGTAATATTGCATAGGAGTACCAGAAACTGCCTCATTGGAAACAAAAACTATTTACATTAAATAAGAAACCTAACTGTTTTCAGGCTTGTATTTGCCACATTTACAGCATGATGCAATATATACTGTGACAAAAAAGAAATGAAAACAGCTTCCGGCACTCAATACCACAAAGTAGCACAGTTTGCCACATTAGAGTAAAGCGAAGGGCGAGTAGGAGGAAATAAGAGGGGGAAGGGGGTGGAAAAAGAGGGAAGAGGAAGGTTTATGGTTTCATTTCTGGTTTCGGAGCTGATTGGACAACCAGTCCAGTCCTTCATAGAGACCATCTCCACTAGTGGCACAGGTTGCCTGGATGTACCAGTTCCTGTGACGAAGGGAATGCAGTCCAAGTTTGTCTGTGATTTCTGCTGCATTCATCGCGTTCGGCAGGTCCTGGGGGAAGGAACAACAGTCATTGTCGCCCCCACCCTTTTGATCGGCGGCTTTAAAGGCATTAGAACCAAAGTTAAGAGCTCTCAGAACTTCTCTTTCAGAAGAACTCACTGGCTTGCTTTGATATTCAAGCCATTTCCCCTGCGCTGACAAAAAGCCTCACAGGTCTGACACCACCACCAAAAGCAAATATTATGGAATATTTCGTAGGGAAGCGAGACAGCTGATTGCTTGGATCGAGTCACCAAGCCCCACAGTGCTGATCCAAACCTGTTTTTACAATTCCAGCTCTGTTTCGCCCACTTTCCACTCAGGAAATCTTTTCTGTGACTGCACCTATGATTTAAGATCAACTTCTCTCCCAAATTACTGCCCTGCTGAGCACAGCTCCTGTGTACAGCCCACCTTTCCTGCTCCTAGACATGACTTATGGATTCTTCACCATCCCAGCTGAGCCTGTGCAATGATGAAGGGAGATGTTATTCCTCTTTACTAGTCATGTTTAAGGTCCTTGACATTTGGTTTAAGCTGCCAAGACCTTTACAAGCAATCAAAGGCAGAACTCTCAGCTCACAGGTCAACAACAAGGATTTGAAAAGTCACCCCAGTGCTTCCATCAACACCAGCAGAGCCCTCAAGCACCCTCAGTGAAGAATTCAGGGATGTTCTGGCATTCCAGACTTCCTCTCTGTTTGGAGGAAGCTTGGGCAGGTGCTTCACTTGAGCCACATCAACCTTAAAAATCAAACTGGTAGAATTTTCCCCTAAAACTGAAAACACATGAATTTCCATCGGCCAAGACTCCTTAGAAAGATGCTCCTTTCAGGTGAGAATTTAATCTGGGGTTTGCTGCCTTCAACACACCTGGATGGCCATTTACTGAGAATTTATCTATCATTTACCCTCAAAACATGACTGTCAAGGTCAAAATCTGGCACTTATGAGCATTTTGGACATTTTCAAGAGTTCTTGCGGAGTGACCCCTTTTCTGGGCATACCTGTTTGTTAGCAAACACTAATAGAACAGCATCTCTAAGCTCATCTTCTGCCAACATTCTCATGAGCTCTTCTCTGGCCTCGTTCACACGTTCTCTGTCATTGCTGTCAACCACAAAGATCAGACCTGGCGAGAAGGGAACAATCAGAATAAGCATTAATTTGAAGTTATTGGCTAATGATGGATAAATCTGGAGGTCAGAACTAAGCTCTGAAGAAAAAATAACCCACAACAACCCAGTACAGACGAGAAAAATACAGTTTTCTCATTACTGTGATCTCATGTCTGAGGGAAAGTCTGTTCCTGCTGAAAGCTGGTGAAAACTGGTGCCAGTTTGCATTTGTGTTTTTGGAGCTTGGGTGCTTCCCCCACATAACCACTTGGTATTTTCCAGGGAGCAGCAGCTCCTGGAGCCCTGTGACAGGACTCAAAGACAGGCACATTCCAAAGGCACAGCAGTGAAAGAGT